ATAGACAAGACTAAGGCTGAGTTGCACCACCTAACACAAAAAACACCTGGTTATGAATAAAGAAATTTGAATTTGAATTTGAATTTAACTTTGACCGTAACTTTACGATAACCGGTGTTTTTGTATGGAGTTTAACAGATTTTTGACGTTTGTCAAAGTTAAAGTAAGATGGTGCAACCCAGCCTGAGCTATGTTGTACTACGTAAACTACAATTTGTTTGTAAACATGTTATTGTTTATGTTAACCCCGTTAACGCCAATAACACTTTCTATTTGACCCTTTAACCTTTTGCGCGACGACGCTCTAGTATTAATTTGATATCATTGTAATTGAAATTCATACTACTTAATATCATAAATGCGAAAGTTTGGATGTCTGGATGTTTGTTACTCTTTCTCGCAAAAACTACTGAACGGATTTTGATGAAACTTTACAGTATTATAGTTTATAACCGAGATTAACATATAGGCTATAATTTATGACGATCTATGACAAACTAAATTTTACGCGGGTGAAGTCGCGGGCAAAAGCTAGTAAATTATAAAATAAAAATAATACTACTATTAGTGACCGAGTTTGTGGCGGCGCTTCTTCTCAGCACTTCCCAAATGTTGGTCTCGAAGCGCTCAGGATAAAAAGATTATGAAACATGTAAAGGCTTCATAAGAGCAATATTTCAAGTTTTTTTATTAGTCTTTATAGGTACTGACGACTTTTAGTTCGGCCGACAGTTGGGTCGGTTTCCAATTTTCGTCTTTCTAGACACAAAACACTAATAATATTGTCAGTCCAACTATGCAAAACGTCGCGCATACATCTATAAACTTGTGCTGAAAGCCTCATCTCTCGTTGAGCGACCTATACCAAACATGAGACAATGCTCTTGGCCAAAACTTTTTGGCTTTTAGGACTTCCTAAACATAATTTACCTCCTTGGAAACCAAACCTCATTACTTCATTAGTTGACAGATTAAAAACTACAATCGCTGCCAGCTTTTAAAATTCGAACCGTCTGGCAAGCTCGCGCTTTCGCGGAATTAATTCGCGCCAAAAATAAACGTCATATTATTATTTCAAATTTGGATGCGTTTTGTTGAGCTGTCATGGCCGCACTTCACCCCTGTTGAGTGGTCTCACGTGGAATCCGTGATTTTGTCGTTTAATTGGGGACATTATGCACCGTGTTGTGTGATACTTAATTAGGCAGGATGTTAATGAAAAAGGTTTATCCAAAAAGGTGAAGCGATGTAATTCTATTTGTTAGAATGGGACCACGATCACGAGACCGCTTGCAGAAGTTTAACAGGAACGATGTAGCTAGCGTATTCGATATCCCAAATAAAACAAAGCAGTAATTACAGAGGGCCTATTGTGAGTTTACATCAAACACATTCGATGTCGAGCGCGTAAAAAAGTGACATTAAATATAATTAAGTTATAAACATAGTTTGATAAACTCACCACTCAGCCCGCTGTATCAGTCAAATTCTCTTAAAAAGTCGAGATTTTCACTACTTCACTTCTCTCAAATCCGCGTGGACTCAGTAAAAAAAAACTCATAAAACTAATTTATTTATGCAAGTACGCTTTTAAAAAGTACTTTTGCACGTCCCAGTATTAACCCTACCACAGCTTCAGGACAATAAATGGACCAGCGCTGAGAAGAAGCAGCGCAAGAAAGTCACTTGTCAGCCTCTTTTTAAGGGTTATGTAAAGTGCCACGAAACCTATCAGTTCAAAGTTTTAAGTGAAATTAACGATCATTATCCTGACTATATTTTATAGTGTTTTTCATACACAGGATGTAGTTAAAATAATTAGTATTCATTAAGCGTCCCATTTTGCATTTAATATTAATGAGGTTTGCAAAAAACAAGTAAATCTCACATTTACGTTCATGATAACAATCAAAGACATGGAAAGACTTCTAAATAGGTATAGGAACCTACTAGACAGGCTGTTCAGAATAAAAATTGTGTCAAAGCGTGCCGTGCGCTTTGTGAATCATTGGGGTATACCTTTTGAGCAGTGGACGTCATATGGCTGAAATGATGCTGATGGTGTGCGCTTAACTAAATAAAACAACTTCAGACACAAAATCGAAATCACGCTTATCAAATGATAAAATTGATTAAAAAACGATGACAAGCTTATCAGGCCTCACAAAGGCTAAAAAATCCTCCAGTAGACCTAAGATGCGCGCCATAATAGGCTTTTAAATAAGGGACTATTCCCACCTCTCGTTCTCACCGCTGCAACTCCTGTGTAGCCAGGATCTACAGCTGGACCGCCAATAACAACCAACCAGTGAAGGCGCAGTTTGACTGTCATTGGACCAGCAACGAAATTAATCTGAAGAAATCAGGAAGAGTTCAAAATTAGGGTTAGACTTCCCTACTACATTTTTATCTAGGCATTTATAAACATTTTACGCGATAAACCCATACATTTGTCGTCAATCATCGATGAAGATTTTATCACGGCGCGCATCCTAGCTGGACAGTGATTTGAACTCATTCGCCAATCTGTCTCTACGAAAGTCAAAAGTGGGACAAAACCTTTGGCTGTAGTTTGTTTTTTGTTTTTGTATTAGTAAGGTATACAAGTGTAAATGTTAAAATGTTAAATTCAATAAAGTATTTGTAGTTGTAGGTACAGTCAAAGTCAAGTAGTTTCGTTCTTGACACCCAAAGTAGCCAAAAAGTTCGCACACGTCATAGGTTGTGGTGTCAACATTTTGGCCACGTTGGAAGTCCCGAACTAGGTATTTGACGCTGACTATTATTGTTGACTCAACCGTAATCTATAGGTACTATCTATCTATACTTATATTATAAATGTGAAAGTAACTCTGTATGTCTATCTCGCTTTCAAGCCTAACCCACTAAACCGATTTTGATGAAATTTGGAATAGAGATAGTTTGAGTCCCGGGAAAGGACATAGCATAGTTTTTATCCCGGTTTTTGAAACAGGGACGCGCGCGATAAAGTTTTTCCGTGACAGACAAAATTCCACGCGGGCGAAGCCACGGGCGGAAAGCTAGTAGGTAAATAATAAAAGGTTTTTTTTTATCTTCTTTGAAACGTCTATCTTTCCTTCCTTATTTTATTCATCCTGTATAATCAAACGGTAGGTGAATCATTGTTTATAACTGTATAGTCATGACTGGTGTTTTTTGCGACTACCTACATGTTTAAATGAGGGCAGTAAGAATAGTTTTTGCTAGCTACTTATTGAAGGTCAGTCTCATCAGAACTTCTGGGGCGTGTCAGCGGTGTATGGTGTTTGAGAGACCCCTGCATGCAATTGTGGTCGTATGGCATTTGAGACCCCTGCATGCAGGACCGTAATTAACTTACAGGGGGCTCTGAGGACCTAGTGTGAGTTTTCGTCAAACGCGCTCACTAGTGAGCGCGCGAATTGTACACCGCCCCTGCGCCGGGAAACTAGGAATTTTCATAAATTTTTTAATGTAAACTCACTCATTGTTTGAACTGTTTGATGTAAACTCACACTCAGCCCACTGGGCATTCAAAGGAGCATTTTTCCTAAAAAAAAATTAAATAATTTTATCTTAAAATTATATAACTTTTCCGTAATGCAGACATGACGTCTTTCTTTCATTTTTCAATAAAAAAAAACTGGCGCGGAAATTAAGGTGTTGTGCCTTAATTATAAAAATTGGCCAGTAACATTTTGTTCTACTTATTCCTTTTTACTGAGTCTGATAATCATTTCGAAGTTTGGAAAATTAAATACTTAAATCTTTTGTATTATAAATTAAGAAAGATGGTGATACTTAGTACCCACCTAGTGACTCTAGAAAAATAATAAAATATTAAAATGAAAGTAATTAATCAAAAAGATACTGTGTTATTTTTAATGTCATGATATCGTTTGATTGTAAGTTAATTGGTTTTGCCATAATTTCTAGAATATTGTAAAAATCTTGTTAAAAATAACCGGGTTTTGTTTGTTGACAAATCAATAGTAATAAGTATGACTGTATTTATTTTATCTTTTTTAAGTAGCGTGTGACGTCCACCCACAAGGTGGAACGACGACATCGTAGAGGTAGCAGGAAGGTTCTGGACGCTGGTCGCTATCAACCGGGCAACATGGAATTGGAAAGCATTGGGGGAGCCCTATGTTCAGCAGTGGACGTCCTATGGCTGAGATGATGATGATGATGCAATAATACCCCGCTTTTTGTTATAAATAAAAATAATATGAAAACATTTTTTGAAATAATTTAACATAAATACCAAACTTCGTAACACTTAACCCTTAATTAGGTAAATAGATTATGGCTTAATATTTATTTATTAAAGTAAATAATTATGAATGAAAGTAACTCGGTCTGTCTGTTACTTGAATTTCAAAGTATTAAACCAATTTTGATGAGTTTATATAGGTACCTACTTTTGGCAAAAAAAATAGTTTTTTGTCACTGTAAAAACTTTTTTGTATTTTACTTCTACGATTTATTTTTATGAAAGGCATTTTTTTAATCTGTTTTTGGGTGCTTCGAAATTCATTTCTTTTTTTACATTGATTGATCATATTTTATTACATAATAATAATAGTTTATTGATGTATTTTTTTTAAAGAAATGAACTTGGTTAACTGAATTAAAGTATATTAAATACCTACATGATGTCAGTTTATCTTATAGAAAACCAGTAAAAGTTTCAATATTCTCAGTGAGTAAATAAAAAAATACCTAACTCCTCTCATAAATAAATTAACAGGCAACGATGCAACTATACCATTAAAAATTACTAAAATACATTTTATAATTTTTTTTCGTTAACCTTTTAACATTCACTGCACATTGCATTACTAATTATAGTTTTTTCGATGGAAAGTGCCGCTCTGCCGATCGCATGTTTCAGCCTTAAGTTTAAATTGAAAAAAGTGAATATTAAGTAATTCAAAGACGTATGACTTGACATTCTTATGGCTAATTAAATAAAAAAAAGTTTTAATTGCACTCACCTTTCCAGAGTCCGAAAAATTGAGTAGAACCTCAAAAATCCATGCCACACACAAATGCACAAAAAAAACACACGGCGATTCGGAATTCAAAAACTGCAATGGAAAAAAAAGTTCGGAATTCGCGCGGGAACTTTGACAGACAAGATGGCGACACGCGTCCGTGCTCTATGCTCGCCGGCCGGCACTGAGCGGTTTGGGTTTCTTCGTTTCTTGCGTGGAGGTACGTGGTATCGTACGATCGCCATAAGTTGTCCAAAACCTGATTCTGTTGCAAAAAGTTTTTACTATCGGGAAGCCTGCAGCCACGCGGCCGAATGAAACCTTAAATTAATGAGAGCAGCTTTTGAGAGTGATGAAAGGTGAAGTTAAGAACAAGATACGATGCAATTTTACCTTACCTTACATTTATTGTTACTCATAAGCCGATGATCTTATTGAGAAATAGTTATTTTCCTTCTTTGCTGTAAATAAATTACTGAAGTGTAGTGCAATCTTTCTTTAAATAGCTAATAATGCAACTCTGTAATTTTATCATGTAGTTAGATATTATGTAACTGTACCTACACAGTGTAATTTTATCCTATAGACGCATAATGTTATAAACCATACGTATAAGTAGAATGAATACGGATAAGTTGCAAAATCGTTCCAATTACAATTAAGGCTTGTTCCTACAGAGACATCCCGTTTTTTTTTTGCAGAATCCCGTTCAGTAGTGTTTTAATATTAAAGTTCACGCGAACATCCCGTTTGCAGCGTCCCGCAAATTAGGTCCATTGGAATTTGACATGATTGTGTGTTATTACGATTTTTTTCAAACCCACGACAGTCCAGTTTTTTATGATCCTGCATTACTGGATCACGCAGAACTGGATTGCCGTGGGAACGAGCCCTTACTAGATCGTCGGTTTCCGACAATGCGTCTATTAATAGGAAACAACGTAACATTGACCGACAATTAAATAATTCCACAAAAAACGTGCGCAAATGGTTTCTCGGTATATTCTGGAGCAGATGTTTTTCTAGTAATGACTCTACATTGTATACTTGATTGAGTTCCTGTAAATGAAGAAGGTAAAATTTGTTTTAAAGAACGCTTCTTAAAAGTATGATGAATTATAGGATCTTGTTATCTGGGGATACTGCTTAGGGTAGAATAAGTGTATTTTTTTTATTATTTATTATTTAAATAAAAATAACTATTACATTTGTGTATAGTTTTTAATTTTTGAGTTCATTGTAAATTAATTGTAAATAACTTTTCCAGTAAAGAAAGAAATTTTCTCTTAAATCTTGAAATATTTTCAAATTATTTCCTGAACGAAATAAAATTAAGGGTTAACATTCTTATTCTATTTTTCTGAAATTCTTTACCATTTAAACCATGCGGTCATGTAATCCTCACTACTTGCTTCAAAACACAATTTCTCACTTTTTTCAGCTCTTACTATCTTGAAGTCATCGGTCCATCGAGCTGGATAGCGACTAATATGGTCCTTACATTCATCAGCAAAGCGCCACAAAACACGATTTCCTTTTTTTTCAGCAGTCAAATCCTGGAGGTCATCAGTCCATCAAGCTGTCCACTGCACTTGATGAGACGTTATCAGGATTGAATAAAGTTTGTAACGTGGGACAAACCAAAGTCCAAATAGTCATGTCTTAAGGAAATACATTAAAATATTAAGGTTTGCGGAAAATACGAGATTTGTTGCGCTAGGCAACTGATATGGACGTTTGAAAGGTATTGCAAAAACCCAAAAGGAGCGTTTAGTATTGAAATAACATTTTAAACTTCAGTTCAACACCTGTGTAACTTTTTAGTGAATGCACCTCTGTGGCTTGGTGGTGAGATTATCTGTCTCTTAACCCAGTGGACCAGGGTTCGATTCTCATAGGGGGCAACATTTTCTGCTCGGTTTGGTTGATGGTAGAGCTTGTTTTAAGTCCGTCTGGATAGCTACCATCATCTTACCTAAGTCTGTCGTCATAACAACAATGTTTACAGCATTGTTGTGTTCCAGCAGTTGGAGGTAAGATAGCCAGTTCCTCTGTGGTTGAGGATTCCGGGTGAAGCTCGCTTCCACCTTCGGCCTGATCATCACTTTCTATCCAGGGTGATGCAGGCCAAGACCTTCCCCTTCAAGACATTCCGATTTTGCAAGAAAATAAATAAATAATAAACATAACGACGATTTAAAACAACGTCTTAAGAGTCAAGTCCTATATTTTTTCCCTGAAATATGTAATTATGCTCCAACACCTCTCAATGCGTGGGGTTGATTATTCTTTTGAATTTTAAGCATCTCTAACAAAGAATTATTATGGTGCTAAAACGAAAGTGCGCGCGCACATACGATCATGAATTTCAAATTTCGAATGTCGTTAGGCAACCAAAAAGGTCTTAAACTCCGTCGCGAAAAATAAAATAAAAATTGATGACAGCTAGGTTTTATTTTAAAGTAAAATTTAATTTAAAACTATTTTGCACGCGCTCACGATCATGAATTTCAAATTTCGAATGTCGTTTGGCATCCAAAAAGGTTGTGTTAGTCTTAAACTCTGTCCTCGAACGCTAAAAAATAAAATAAAAATATGACAGCTAGATTTTATTAAAAAAAAAGGGAAATTTAATTTCATACAGTTTTACGCGCACTCACGATTTATGATTGATATGATTATCTTGAACGCGCTAATCTCAGGAACATCACCCTACAGCCAATAGGGGTGGAGGAGTAAAGAAAAACGTGAAAATTATTCCAACTAACTACCTACTACTTATTTGAAAATTATAAATAACTTGAAAAAATCGAACTGCTTAAGGCGGGAATTTAACCCACGACATAATCTTTGAAATAACTATTCCAACTATTTTTAAGAAAGTCGCGAACACAGCTGCTAGTATTTTTAAAAACAACCTTGAACAGAACTTGAGGTTACTATTTTTTGCAGAAGAAATGCCCGTGAACTTCGTTCATTTGATGTTTTTAAAAAATCCTTTGGTGTCCAGCATCCAACACCTTCCTATCACGTGCGACCTTTTTATTCTTAGGCATTTAGGCAAGTAAAAATAAATAAAACTGATTCCCAAACCAAAACATAATATCATTTACCTATTCCGTTTTTCATGAATTCTTTAAACCAGGAAGAAGTAGCAATCCAAAAACATCGATCTTAAAATTGCAAATCGATTTTTTCGTCTGTAAACTCTACATGTTACGTAAATCAAACTTTTTGTTTGTAGCTGTAAAGATTGTATTATTTGAATGTGTAGATTATAAAATAACCTATTTCTAATGCGAAAACTTTTTCAGTGTGCCTACCATGAGTTTATAGATGACCCACGCTGAACTGTCCCACCAAACTCAATGACAGGGGGGCGCTACTATCGTTCAACTATATGGTTTGCAACATGGCAAAAATCTGAACCAGCGATTCGGTATTGACGGTGGCGCCCCACTGTCAATGTCATCGACAGGACAGTCCAGTACCTCTAGTAGGAAAAACTTTCGAGTTCGTTTCGTTGCGTATTCAAAGTGTCATCGAAAAATTTTGTATGAAAAATTAAACAGCGCCCCCTAGGTCGGCTATAATATAGGGGGCGCTGTTTAATTTTTCATACAAATTTTTTCGATGACACTTTGAATACGCAACGAAACGAACTCGAAAGTTTTTCCTACTAGAGGTACTCAGTATTTTGAAACTATACGTTAGGTGAGCTCGCTAGCGAATACGTCAAAAAATTCTATGAAGATTTTATTTCTTGAAAGTAGCCGCTAGGGGCGCTGCACAATATGTCATACATTTAAATGTCATTTTTTTACGCAGTCGCTAGCGAGCACACCTAACGTAAACTCATGGTAGGCACACAGAACGTTTAAAGTTACACGAGTAGAGATAAAGTACAGTAAAATTACCTATTTACTTCTCAATGCCGGTGGACAAAGGCCCCATGGATTTCCACAACGACCGGTCCTGCGCTCGCCGCGACCTTCAGATCGTCGGTCCGCCGAGTGGAAGACCTGCCTACATTACACCGTTACCCGGTTGATGGTCACCACTCGGGAACTTTTCTGCCCCAACCACCATCAGCTCTACGAACTGATGGTGGTTGGGGCAGAAAAGTTCCGAACTGCCCCACCCACTGTCACATAAGTTTGGCAATTCTGCGCCTTCATCATCATTTCAGCCACAGGACGTCCACTGCTGAACACAGGCCTCCCCCACTGACTATATTATCTACTTATCTATGTACATTGCAATCTTGGTAGCAGCCTGCATCCAACGCCTTCCTACCTTTATCAGGTCGTCGGTCAACCTTGTTTCCCGATTTTCCGGTACGTGGCCTCCACTCCAGAACCTTGCTGCCCCATCGGCCGTCAGTTCTGCGTACTATGTGCCCTGCCCATTGCCACTTCAGCTTGCTAATCCGTTGGGCTATGTCAGCGACTTAAGTTCGTTAACGGATCTCCTCATTTCTGATTTGATCTCATCTCGTAAAGAAACACCGAGCATCGCCCTTGCACTTTCCATGGCACGCCGCGCTGTGGATTTTAATGTTTATTTTTGAGGCCTACAGTTTTTATAAAGACCAATCTTCTTTTTATTCTAAGTTTAACTAAGTTCATTTCTAAGAAGTTGTCGATAAGTACTGGAATTCGCGGCAGCAGACGCCGAGCGCTAAATATAGCGTCGTTTCGACTTTTTGCGAACATTAATTTGTTCGTAAGCAGACTGGCCAATATACGTGCGAAGTGGCTGTAACAAATCTTATACGCATCTTTTTGTTTTGAAATAAGTATACAATGAACGACTGTTTTGTATGTTAAGTATTTACAAAAAGAGTACTGAAGTATGTTTAACTAGATATTTTTTAGTAGGTACTAAAAGCTTTGCTTATAATGTAGTAATAATTATAAAGCAAAGGATTTACTTACACTTGTTTCTCTAATGCCCGTTTTCACCATCAATCCCTAATTTTTAAGTGACCACTATGGTAAATGTGTTACCATAGGACTCCCTGCAGACTAGGTAGGCAGACTTTTTAGTCGGCCGATAGTTAAATGACTAATTCCTTAATAAAAATAATAATTAAAGGTAGGTACCTACAGACTTTTAGTTGGCCGATAGTTGAGCCCGACTCTAATTTGCATGAATAATCGGCCGATACCAATG